CTTCAAAAAAACCCAAAACAGCAACAAGAAGAAGTTCAGCCATTAACGAGCTAGCACCGCCAACACAAGTGGCCCGGCTGACCTGGCTGGCAACCTACTTCCAAGGGAGGGGATCAGGTCAACCAGATCCGCCGGGGGAGGCTGAGAGTTTTCGGACAGCAGCCACCAGCCCGCAGTACACAGCTCCTGGGCCATGGCTCAGCCACCGCAACCAGAGTCACCAAAACGGACTGATCCCGACCTGGGGCCCAGGATGCCCTCCAACAGGACCTCCCCGGCTGCCAGGGGCCCTGCACCGAGCCCAGGCGTGAGCACCGGCCCCTCCCGCAAATGCTTGGGCAGGAACACGCGGCCTCACCCGCACCCCGACTTCCCCACCCGTGCGCCCCCCACCTCACCTCCAGGCCGATCACAGGGCCCTTCCCAGAAGGCTCTGTGCCCCTCATCCAGCCCACGCTGAGCCCAGCCTGGAGCAGGTATTTTGCACCCCTTACTCAGTAAGTATTTTCTGGGCAAACATTCCCACTGCTAGTGATGGGGTCATGACAAGGTTGATGACGGTGGCAGGGTCACCCGACACCTGCCAGCACCTTCCCTGCCTCAGGCTGTTCCACCCCGTGAAGGAGCTGTTCTCGGCCCATTTGACAGATGAGTAAACTGAGGCTCCTCAAGGAAGAGCACCTCTCAAACCCAGGAAAGTCAGGACTCCACAGCCCTGGCTGTCACATCAACCCTCAGAGACTGTTGGGGCCACAGAGGGGAACTGAGGCCCATAGAAGTGAAGTCCAAGTCCAGGTGGCAGCAGAGCCCCCCGGAACACCCCCCTCCCCCACGCGCCCCTCACCTTGCGCCAGAGCAGCTGGGTCTGCGGAAGCCCGGTGCCCTCGATTTCGTGGCGCATGCTGGTGAAGAGCGCAACGCCATACTGGTCCTCGTAGAACTGCAGGAACCCCCGCAGGATCTTCTCGGTTTTCTCTGGAAGGGAAGCAGGGGTAGGAGGTGAGGTCGGCACGGATACCTAGGGCCAAGCACCCAGAACACCAGACGCCTGCATCTGCACCGCACCGCGTGCACCGGCGCCTGCCCGGCTCGCACCTTTGCTGCAGGGCTTGCACGGCGCTGTGGATGGAGCCCAGGGTTGAACCACACCTGCCCCGCGACGCACTTCCAGCCAAGTCTGCAGCACCTGCCCTGTCCACCACCGGGAGAAAGGTGACCCTGCAGACAGGGAGGTGGGCAGTGGCCACACACAGAGGACACTCACATCCAACAGCACCATGACAGACCCTCCGCCAGTGACCAAACAAAGGTCACCAAGCATGACTACATGTCCTCCGGTCACTGGCAAGTGGATTCGGGAGGCTGAGGCAGGAGAACTGCATGAGTTTGAGGCCAGCCTGGCCTGCACGGTGAGTTCAAGACCAGCCCAAACTATATAGCAAGACCCAGTCTTGGGCCTGGGGATTTAGCTCAGGGGCACAGCGCCTGCCTGGCAAGCCGAGGTTGTGAGTTCCATTTCCAGTACCAGAAAGAAAAAAAAAAAAAAAGAAAAGACCCAGTCTCAAAATAAAAATACAAATACAAAATCTCTATGGAGATACACAAACAAAGGGAAGGTGGTGCTGGCCAGTTACAGAATCACATGTTATGTAGCATCTCATTTAAAAAGACCAGTCCTGTCTGTGCACACATACAAACCACTTCTGCTCACATACTTAGAAGAAAATAAGGGCTGGGCATGATGGCGCACACCTGTCACCCCAGCACTCAGGAGGCTGAGGCAGGAGGATTACTGAGTTTGAGGTCAGCCTGGGCTACATGGTGAGACCCTGTCTCAAAAACCAAAAAAGGAAAAGCAATAAGACAGAAGACAGCAGGCCAGGCCGTGAAGGTCAGGGCTGGGGGGGGGGCGGGGTGCAGAATGAGCGTCATGTTCTGTTTTATTCACTTTTATAGCACCGAGTTACTTTACAAGCACAATTTCTTTCAGAATAAAAAACAAACATTCAGCCCTGCATTTGATCCCCAGCACTGAAAAAAGAACACAAAATTTTTAAAATTCAAAAATTAATTCCCAGCCGGGTATGGTGGCACACGCCTGTCCCCCCAGCATTCTGGGAGGCACAGGCAGGAGGACTGCAAGTTCAAGTCCAGTGCGGGCAACTTCGCAATTTATCAAGACCCCATCTCAAAACGAAAAACAAGCAGGGCCAGGAAATGTAGCTCAATGCAAAGGTCCTAGATTCAATCCCTCGCATATTGGGAAAAAAATCTAGAGGCTGCACCCCTAGGCGAAGGCCGCACAGCCAGCAGGCACGGAGCTGGGATGCAGTCCAGGGGCCAGCCAGGAGCCGGGGGCCAGCCAGGGGGACTGGGGGCTTGAGCCGCCGCGTGCCACACCCAGGGTCCGGGCCTTGTGGTGGTGGGGGAGGGGCACACCCCTTTCCTGGAATGAGGTCGTGTTGTCCAGATTCCGATTTGGGGAGAGGAGGGGAGAACAAATGAGGAATGCGCTTTGAAGCACTGTTTTTTAAAAACCATAAACAGCCTGAGACCTTGGGAATTGTTTTGAAAGATGCTGAGGCCGGGGAGAGGGCCAGGGAGGCAGAGAGGGGAATCCCGGCAGTAGAGGAAAGGAGGGTCCTGGCCGAGAGGGACACGGACAATCACACCGTCCTCCTCCTCCTCCTCATCTCTTGTTTTTTCCTGTGGCACTGGGGATTCAATCCAGGGCCTAACGCTGGGGATTTAGCTCAGCAGCACAGCGCCTGCCTAGCAAGCACAAAGTTGTGAGTTCGATTCCTGGCACCAGAAGAAAAACAAAAACCAACCCAGGGCCTTCACACTGAGCTACCCTATTTTATTTTTCACTTTGCATCTTGCTAAATTACTCAGGCTGGACTGAAACTTGCAATCTTCCTGCCTCAGCCTCCTGAGAAGCTAAGATTACAGGGGTGTGCCCTCACACCTGGCTTCGGTGTCGGCCAAGTTTTACACCATGACCCCAAAGGAGCTTCCCGAGATCCTGGGGACACACAGCTGTGGTTGTCCTTTGTCAGAGAGGAGGAGGCGGTGGACCTGGTGTTCATGCTGCCTGGTTGAGCCCTGACCCACAGCAGCCAGCGGAGGCCACACCTCCAACACGGCCGGCAAGGTGGGTGACTCAGGGCTGGGGATCTGGAGGTCCTAAGCCAACCACAAGGAGGATGGTGTACCTGGAAGGTCTGGAAGCTGTGTCTCAACCCTCAGGCCAGGCCCAAGGGAAAGCTGCCACATCAGTGAGGTCTCCAACCCCAGTCTGAGGCTGGGATATAGCTCAGTGGCACAAGCATCTGCCTGACAAGCGCAAGGTCCTGAGTTCGATTCCTGGTACCAAAAAAAATCCAACCCCGGTATGCTCAACATAGCAGCTCTCAGCGCCCAGTTGCTGCAGCTGAGACTCAGAGCCCAAGCCAGGCATTCACCAGGATCCCGGGCTGCACTGGGGAGGGGACAATAACCCCATGGAGCCCAAAACAAAGCCGGGCGTGGTGGCGCACGCCTGTAATCCCAGCACTCTGGAGGCTGAGGCGGAAGGATCATTGCGAATTCGAGGCCAGCCTGGGCTACAAAGTGAGCTCAAGGCCAGCCTGAGCTGCATATTGAGACCCTGTCTCAAAAAGACAAAAAAACAAACAAAACCAAAACGAGCTACAGCACCGACGACCCCCATTTCATACCACAGCAATACAGGCCACCTCTCTATGGGGACTCAGGAACTGCATGGAGTGGGACTGATGTTTTCTGGTTGTTTTTTTGTCTGTTTGTTTGTTTGTTTTTGTCTCTTTTTGAGACAGAGTCTCGCTCTGCAGTTCAGGCTGGCCTTGAGCTCACTTTGTAGCCCAGGCTGGTCTCAAACTCAAAATAACCTTCCTGCCTCAGCCTCCTGAGTGCTGGGATTACAGGCGTGCACTACCATGCCCGGCTCTGTTTTCTGTTTTTGAGACTGGGTCTCGCTATACAGTTTAGGCTGCCCTTGAGTTCACTATGTACCCCAGGCTCACCCTGAACTCTTGGTGATTCTCCTGCCTCAGCCTCCAGTGTGCTGGGATTCATATCTGGAGACACCCCAGAGATGGCAGTATGGACCTCCCTGCCCCACCTCAATCCCTGAATTGCTTCTGTTCACCACTGGATCCTCAAACAGTTCCTGAGTAAAGGCAGGGCAAGGCCAGGGGTGGCCCAGGACTCTGGAGCGGTGCCAGGGAAGAGCCTGAGGTTGGACGGATCCAGCAGTACCAGGGGACTGGATTCACCCTGCGCAAGTCTTCAGCCCAGGCAGAGCTAGAAGGGAAGGCAGTGCGGGGGGGGCCAGGCCAGATGGCTTCTTCACAGAGGGAGCCCCGGGCACATTCTTGAGAGATGAACTAGCTGGACAAGGTGCCACATGCCTGCAAGCCCGGCAATCTGGGAAGCTGAGGCAGGAGGATCGCAAGTTAGATCCCTGCTGCCTGGAGAGTAACTGCCACAGTCACACACGCTAAAGCAACACAAGGGATGGGGAGGGTGCCACGGGGAGCCCGGGGCCAAGCTCGGCCAAGGACGATGTGGATCTGCCTGCTGGGGCACAGCCCCCTCACCTTGGGGTTCCCACAGTCCCCAGCTGTACACAGTGCTCAGCACCCCATTCCTTCCCTTCCGGCCTCCCTGTAGCAGCTGGCAGTGGATCTCAGATGTGTGTGGGTGGCCCAGTGCCTGGGGCGCCCCTCTCCCCCCACACCAGCCCACACAGGTCTTCCTGTTTCCTCCCGGGCCTCTGGAACCCGGCACGCCGTGGATTTGAGGCAGACATCAGACACGGACTCTGAGACCCAGGCTCACCCCCTTGAGGGGGGCCCTGAAGTGGAGAGGGTGAAGGGCTCACCTGAGGTCACACGGCCAGATCGAAGCAATCCAGGCTCAAGCCACAGCCAGCTGACCCCTCTGGGTCCTCAGGGTCCCGCACAGCGCCCCCCAGGGGCAGCAAGGAAAGCGGCCTCGGGGTCCCGGGCTAGAGGCCGGGCAGCGCGCGGGTCTGTGCGGGCGTCGCCCGCCTGCCCCTTGCTGTCTCTGGCACTGACTCAGCCCAGGTGCTGCTGGAGGGAAGCAGCCGGCGTTGGGGAGCTGCTAGTGCCCGCCTCTGGCCTCCAGGTGAGGAGCGGCTGTGGGGGGTCCCAGCTCGTCCCAGCCCTGAAAGTGCCGGCCTGTGAAACAGGCCTCCCAGACCCCGTTCACAGCTCTGTGGACCGGGGTCCACTGCGCTGGTCTCAGCGCTCAGCCCGGGGCCCCCTAAATATTACCGTAATCGTAATGGTGCACAGCCTGGAATGACCGCATGACAGGCGGCCTGAGACGTTTACTAGCAGGTATACCTTACAGCTTGAAAAGAATTCAGTAAAAGGATTTTTTCCCCCTAAAGAACCAAGACAAGAATCACAAGATAAGGACAATCTTCAACAAAGACTGGACAAAGAGAAAGTCCACCACGAAGAGGAGGGTAGGAAGGCAGGACCGTCCGCGCCTGTGTGCGTGTGTTCTTCTGCGAGCCGCACACAATACCAGGAAGCCAGGGTCCCCCCGACTGCGGCTGGGCCCTCTCTGTACCACTTTGCCACCAAGTCCCCAGAATCAGGACCCGCGCTCACCCGTCCCCCACCAACACACACACTCAGACTCCTCCAATGGCCCCAGAGAGCAGTGAATAAAAATGCCCACTTTACAGGTGTAGAAACCAAGGGTCGGAAGAAGCCGGGTGTGGTGCACACATCTGTCATCCCAGCACTCGGGAGGCTGAGGCAGGAGGACCGCCCCAGTTTGAGGCCACCCTGGGCTACATAGTGAGTTCAAGGACAACCTGCGCTGCATTATGAAACCCTGTCTCGAAAAAAAAAAAAAAAAAATTCACAGCTTATGACAGGTCATTTCTCTCAGTCAAAACCATACCGGGCCCTGGGCTGGGGATACAGTTCTGGGGCACGGCACTTGCCCAGCATGTGTCAG